TTGCATCATGCGCTCAGATTTTGAAATAGTGCATTTTCAAAGGATTTTGGTACATTTTGACATGATGCATTTTCAGACCATTTTGGTGTACCTAATTTTAATGCAATCCTGACTCTCAGATGTCATAATCTAAAGCACTAGATTTATTCTCATTTCTCTCCTAAGATCGCATTCTCACACACACACACACACAAGCATATATACGCGCATTGCGCGGATTGTAGTACCCGATCAAGGTTTACTTAACAATAATTCTAAAAATGTTGGGAATAACATTAAGGTGTATAAGACATTTAAAGTTGATCGACATGGTTGATATATTCCAAATTCATAATAAGGTAATCTAACGAATGACATGATTTTTGCATGTATGGACCTTGATATGAGATTTCATACATATCCAATGCCAATGTCAGCATGATGGGTTTTTTAGTTTGAATTGTATGTATACCCATGCATATTAACAAGACATTGTATAAAATTAAAGTATTAGAGTGAATAACGTTAGCATAGTGTAGTCTCAAATTTTACATCTTTTTCTAATTCCAACAATGAAGTAGTGTGTATTTAGTTGTATGTTTTGTGGAATATTAAAAGTTTTGAAATAATCATTGATGAACAATGAGCATAATGTTTGAAGACCAAAAATGGAGTTTTAAATTAGAGACTACCAAGTATGACTTGATAATACAAAAAATGCAATGTTTAAAAGTATAATGAGTTTTTTAAGACAAGAATTAATACAATGAAGAACAAAATTATAAGTGACTTATTAATTTTCTTGTCTATATTTTTTAACCCCACTCATTATAAGTAAATTATGACTCTAATAAAGAAGTTCTAAAATTTACTTTGCCTTGTCATCATAAATTAATTTAATTTTTTTTATGCAATATAAATACTTATTAAAAAAGCATGATTAGTTACTGTTTGTTTATCATATGACATTCAAAGAACACTCATTTCTCCACTATTTGCTACCGCAAGAACCTTAGTTCCCTAATATTAAAAAAATACATTAAATGAACATAATTAATAGTCTATGCCCCTCTATGATTGCAAGATTATAAAATAATTCATTTACGAGATTAAAATCCTTTTTGATCCAGCAACACATAAGACCTATACTTATTCAGATCGAACCTTGTGTATCTAATGTTGTGCTCTTCAACAAGTGTCACTTTGCATGTTGATTCAACCTTGTTGTCTTAATATGACTACTTATTTTTGTTGTTGACATCCCTACAATTAAAAAAATGTTATACTAACATAAGGAAACATGCTTTGGTACAAATCATTATTTATTCAAAGTGTGTAAAACCATATGATTTATTTTATACAAGTCATTTTGAAGGATTTTCATTTTTCATATAACAAATTAAAACTTCCCACGTCCCATTTTAATTTTTAAGATGATTCATCTATGGATATATTTTCATTCCCTACATCTCAATTCTTGACTCGTACCTATAATTTTTATTTAAAAAATCTCTCTTTTATGAGAAATAGATAAAAACAATCTAGATTGGTGGTAACCCAAAAAAGACTAACTAAAATAAAGTTAAATGACAACACTTTTTGCTTAATGAAATCATTTCATTCTTTATGGAACACTTCTGCCTAAAGAAAAGCTCCATACGTCCCAATCTGATTAGTAAACTCATTATTTTAGGAAAAAAACTCTCTACGTCCCAAGTTTTTAGTTGTACATATTAGTTTTTTAAAAAAATTAATTATTTTTAATAATGGAGACAATCAACCGATATTTCTGGAAATCATAAAAACACTAAATAATTTTAAAGTCAACTTAAATGAAAACACTTCTTCCTAAGTGAAAAAGTTTCATTCTTATGAAATTATTTTAAAAATTATAGTGTTAAAAAACTAAAAAATCATGAGAATTGAACACGTGGTAAATAAAAGTCATTTTAAACCATTTTAATTTATCATTTAACAAATAAAGACTCCCTGCGTCCCAAATTAATTTGTAAATGAATAATTATTTTGTTTAACCAAATTATTTATGAATTGATTTAAATGAGCTTTTATGAAAATATTCTCCTTAAACGATAACATTTAATTCTCATGTAACATTAAAAAACCTAAAAAATTAAGAGTAGAGCACATGGGAAATACAAGCTATTTTGAAAGATTTTCATCTTTCATATAAATTTTTTTTTACCTACGTTCCAATTTGATTTGTAAATTTAATCTTTAATGGACAAATTTAACTCCTATGTTCCAAGTTTTGAATTGTACCTATAATTTTATTTAAAAAAAGCCTTATGTACTGTGAGTAGTAAACAAACAACCAAGAATATAATTATGGCAATAAAAAAAAGACTATATTTTTTTTAGAAAACAACATAAATGAAAATACTTATCGCTAAATAAAATCAATTCATTTTTATGAAACACTTTGGCCTAAATAAAAACTCTCTATGTCCCAATTTATTGTAAACTCATTCTTCTAGGGACAAATTAAAACTCTCTACGGCCTAGTATTTGAGTCTTACATATTATTATTTAAAAAACCTTATTTATTGTCAATAATGGACACAATCAACTACGATTTCGGGAATCCAAAAAACGCTATTTTTTTCAAAATCAACTTAAATGAAAATGCTTCTACCTAAATGAAAACATTCTATTCTTATAAAATTATATTAAAAACTAAAATGTAAAACCAGAAAATAATTAGAATTGAGCACATGGTAAAGGAAAGTTATTTTGAATCATTTGACAAATAAAGAGTCCCCACATCTCGAAATTAATATATAAAAGTATTGATAATTTTGTTCAACCATACATGAATTTTTGGATTGAAAGATATTGCATTCAAAAGATGATGAACTAAATTAAAATGACCTAAGAATGTTGTTCGAATTGTTTTGTAATTAGCAATAGAATGGTCTACCAAATTCTTGAGTTGTACCTAATAAATTGAAAAAAATACCTACATAATTGGTATGCCATACACACACACACACAAAATATATTTTATTAGAAATTAATAATGAAAAATTTCACATTCTTCAAAGAAAACTCTCAACTTTGTAGATAACAAAAAAAAACTTAAAAGCATTTAATCAATATCACTTATAAAGTAATTAATAGCAATTTGGAAATATAAATGTGACTTGAATTCTCAATGAAACATCCTAGTAACGGTGTAATGGCAATGCTGGAAATAAAAAATAGTGTACACCATCCAAAGCATAATGTACAACTCTTTTGGATGGAAAAAGTGCATAAAATTAAGGGATACTTAATATATATATATATATATATATATCAAAAATCTGCTTATACTTTTTTAATCTAATGACGCACAAAGAGCCAATCCCTCTGCCTCCACTAGTAGAGCTCAAACTTGGGTGAACTTTTCCATAAATTTTGGGGAGTGAGCTTCATACAACTCAAGCCGTGGGAGAAATTCGATACAAGAGTAATAATAGTAGATTTATCTTGTAAAATATTTTATAAACATTATTTTATCTAATTAATATACTAGGTAAGTTTTATTTAATTTTAGGTCAAAGAGAACAAATGATGAATATACATTCGGTTAGAGGAAGATGTATACTTACGTAGGCTTGACACAAAGTGGTTAAAGGACCTTCACCTGAATGATATCGTTGTAGATATGATACCTGATAAGACACAATAACATTGTTTGATCCATGTAACTGACCCCACATAGTGAATAAAGTTTGTTTATTGTTGTTGAGGTCAAAGGTCGATCTTGTTTAAATACAAAAAATCAAATTAGACAAATACTCTATGACAAAAAAATATTTTCTTTATTAATTTCTAATTCAACCCACCAATTTTCAATTACTATTCTCTCTTCTGGTCAAAATACTAATTTCGTCCTTCTTAATTTTTTTGTTGGCAAATACTATTCTGGTCTTTAGGTCAATAATTAATATATGGATCTTGAGCCATGAAATGATTAAATGTATTGAAGCTTATAAAATGAAAGAGATTCATCTGCGATCGAGTCCATAAAAAATATATAAGAAAGTTCATATTCTATAGGTGGACCTTAAAACCACGATAGTACAATTATTCTTCTTCAACAGAAGTTAATATTTATGTAGAGAACCATTAAGGGGTTTAAAAAAAGTTTTTATTACATTCTAATTCAACTCAGCAATTTTCAATTATTCCCTCCGTTTTATAAAATACTTCCGCCCTAATTTTTTGTGCACCCCATAAAACACTTTTATTCTACTTAAAATGTCTAAAATGCTCTCAAAGAAACTTCAACGCGTTATAAATTACAAAATAGGGTATATTTTAGGTATTTAAAGTATGGTAAAAGTGTTTTGAAGGATGCACAAAAAATTAAAGCAGAATGGTTTTGAAACGGAGGGAGCACTATTCTGGTTTCTAGTTAAAATACTAATTTTCTCCTCAAAGTTCTTATTTTTTTCTTTGTAAACTAGAGTAATAAACCTAGGGATACACCAGGTTTACCCCTAGCATGCCCCTAACTAGAGACATATCTTATGGGACAGATAATTGTATTCAGGTAGAGGGCTATTAAGGGGTTTTAAAAAGAGGAAGAACCCCGCAAATTATATTATACATTCGGTTGTACCCCAAAATTGGGTACAACCGGTAAGTAGAAAGAAGGAGAAGAGCTACGTTGATCAGAGGAGAAAGGAGAGGTGCTCCTAATCGGGTCGGGCCACGTAGGAGAGAAAGGAGAGGTCGATCGAGGAAGGAGAGGATGGAGAGGTGTTCCTTCGATCGAGAAAGAAAGTTACTGTATGGAAGGAGAGGTGCTTCGCATCCGCCGGTAAAGGAAGCCGCTGATCGGAGGAGAGGCGCTGGATGAAAAATTCTAGTCGGGTCGGGTAGCATAGGAGAGAAAGAAATTATTTATGGTATGAATTTTATTTAAATGAGAACGAACGCTAAGTTGTTTTTGAATGAATACTGTTTTGTTTCAGAATGAATATTAAATTATTTGTAGATGAATATTATAATTATAAAAGAGTACTGCATTATTTTAGGATGAGTACCACACTAATTATATTTGTGGCAGATTGAGTACTATTTGAATGTACCTCTATTTGTATCTTGTACCATATATTCATATATATACTCGTATCTTGTGGAAGAACCCTAATTATTAATCTAAGCGCGCTGGAAACGGGAGGGGAGAGCACCTGGGCGCAAATCCTTGACGGGGAGGAGGGCGATAGAAAGTTCTGCAATCATAAGCTTTCCATTTCGTTTCTAAGGTGAGTGCTCTTTTCACGTTCTCCAACTCTTTGAGATTTGAATTTACCAATTCCGTACTGAGCGTCTAGCGGCTCCATGAAGAGTCATCCGCCGGAGTTTCGTTCAGACGTGGGGTGTTGTGCAGTCCAAGGGGTCTTTTGCGAGTTTAGGGTCCGGCTGCAGCGGTGCACGACCATCCAGGGGTCGAGTCAGGTCTGTGCGCGTGGCTGAGTCGGGCTAAGGTCTGGGTCAAGGGCTCGGACGACCAGGGACCCTGGGTTGGGGGTCTCAGTTGTGCTCTGTCAGGCTGGGCAGCAGCGGGGTCCAGCGCCAGCCAGGGACAAGGGCTGGTAACAGGTGGATGGGTCTCGGTTCATGTTTGCACTGGGCAGGGAAGAAGGGGCAGGGGAGGGGGTGTAACTGTCGGGTCCCCCGAAGGCTCCGACAAGGTATGGGGTAGCAGTTAGACTATCCCCAATGCTGTGTGGGATATAGGGATTCTAAAGGCAATTTAATAATTGCTCTCAATCTCAAATCTCATTTCAATGGCACAATGGAGAAGTAGAAGAAAAAACAAAATCTCTTACTCCACATGCTCATCAACTGCACAATAGGTCGATAGTACTATTTATTAATTATTTCAGCCGCACATCTTCTTCTGCATCCCTTTCATATGAGATTGTGAAATCACAGTCCTTAGGCAATGTGTTATGGGGTGGAGGAGGGGCTTGACTATCCTTCATCGCGCCCCTCATCCATAACATATAAAGCGTGAGGGGGCGTTGCCCCAAATGTCGTGATGACAAATCATTTTATTCTTTTATAAAAAATTTCAACCAATCAAAATTTAATACACATTCACAACTCATCACTTCCCTTCACACCCACCACAACACACATATTTTAACATTCTACAATCCACCATAGCTTTAAATTGGTTACGACCAAATTGGTTGAGAGGATTGGACAATTATGCATTTTGAACCAGTTAAGCGTGTAAAAACCAAGAATTGGTTTATTTTTGTTTGCCTTTTTTCATATTTCTAACAGCAATTTTTTATCTTTTGTTTTAAGAAGATAGCTTGAAGCTCTCTTTTTTTAAATGAATTTAAAGCGTATGCGTTTCAGAATTTTAAATCTTATGTGATTGACTCTTGGAAAAATCTTAATGAGATTGTATATTTATTTAAATAGGATCATAAAAACAACTTATTTATTAGTTTTTATAATTTGTTCTACTTTTTAACTTATACTCTGCACACGTAAAAAATTAGATAAATTTGGAAATCTTGAAATAATTTTTTTGGTTCAAATATTTGTACCAAATACAATAGTATATCCTTTTGATTAAATATTAGAAACACATTTATACTAATTTGTCTAATATATTTGAACCAAATCCGATATATAAAATTATTTATACATAATATTTCTAATGAATCCGAGCATATGTATGTATGTATGTATGTATGTATGTATGTATGTATGTATGTATGTATGTATGTATGTATGTATGTATGTATGTATGTATGTATGTATGTATGTATGTATGTATGTATGTATGTATGTATGTATGTAGGTATGTATGTATGTATGTATGTATGTATGT